TTTAAGCAAAACAAAATTCTCTCGCAAACCGAAACAACTCCTCCTGCCGCCTCTTCAGCATTCAGAAATACCTTTCACGGCACGCGGCCGCAGGAATACCTGTTTGCAGCGTTTTTTCCTGCTTCCAACGAAATAAATTTTCCAGCACAGTAATCCTGCAGGAATTTCCGGACCGCTGCGGTGTCTGACTAATCGGAATAATTTTATTTACCGACCAGAATGCTATTTGTAAGCGATAAGGAGCGATGTCCTGCTATCTGTTAAGGTACGCTCACCGTCTAACGAGCCGTAAACGCTTGCACAGACATACTGAGTCAATTAAACAGCTTTCCTGGAAAATTTTCTCTATCTGTAATGGATTCCTTAATTGAGAAAAGTAACTGAATTAATCGGCTTAAATAAACTGAATTTTCTGGAACCAGTTTAATTAAAACTGATATCTTCAAATGAAAACATTCTAACATCCCTACTGTTAATAACAACCAGGAAAATTACAAATTTTTTGTCGACAATTCAAAACTAATATCAAATGTCAAACAAGAATCCTGGGAACAATTATACTCTATAAATAATATAGACAAAGCAACGGGACTGTTCAAAGAGAAAATAAAAAAACTAATAGATATTAGTACCAATAAAGTAATAATTAGTCACAAAGAGAAAAGCAGAAATGCCTGGATTACCAAAGGATTAATAACATCGGCAATAGAAAAAGAAAGACTATATAATGTAATCAAACTAACGCCAACTGCAGAGAATACCGAATGCTACAACCAATATAAAAATAAATTTATAGAGCTTGTAAGGCAAACCAAACGAAAACATTACCTAAATAAATTGAATAATAAATGATCCTAAGCGGCTTTGGATAACTATTGATGAGATTACTGGGAAAACAAAATTTAAACAGTGTGTCACTGAGTTAAATACAACATCGGGAACAGTATTAAAAAATACTCAACAGATATGCGATGAATTTGTACAATTCTTTACTGACATAGGCGAAAATTTAGCATGTAATATACAAGCAAATGTACAAAATACTCAGCCTCCAAAAAGAACTTTGAACTCATTTATTTTGGATAAAATCGAGCAATGTGAAGTATACACCACTGTTATGCCCTTAAAAAATCGGAAAAGTCCTGGGTTCGATGGTATTAAAAGCGAGCATTTGAAAATTATAGCCGAGGACATAACAGAACCACTCACTTACCTAATCAACAAATGCTTTGAATCTGGCATATATCCCTCAATTTTAAAAAAAGGTAATATAATACCGATACATAAATCAGGAACAAAGACAGATGTTAACAACTATAGACCAATATCAATAATATCCAGTGTAGCAAAGGTTTTTGAAAAAGTTTTATGTAATAGTATGATTCGATACCTCACAAAATTCAAAATTTTAAGTGAAAATCAACATGGATTTACAGAAGGGAAGGCTACATCGGACGCAATAACTAAAATTGTAAATCAAATACATCAAAATATTGATAACAGAATCCCTTCAATCTGCATTTTTGTTGATTTAAAGAAAGCTTTCGACACAGTTAATCACAAATTATTATTAGAAGCATTGGAGAGAATTGGCTTCAGAGGAAACGCGTACTCACTGATCGAAAGTTATTTGTCAAATCGCCCACAATCTGTGTAGGTATCAGGATCATTTAGTATAATGTATATTAAGTGTGGTGTCCCACAAGGAACTGTCTTAGGTCCGCTGTTATTCAATATATATTTAAATAATATTTTCCAAATTAATTGTGTTGGCAAAATAACTAGTTTTGCAGATGATACTGCAATATTATATGAAGGCACTGACTGGTCTGATCTGAAAAATGTAATTGAAAATGATTTTATCAAAATTATTCGGTGGTTTAACAGTAGAAAATTAACTACTCTAAGACACATTTTTTACCATTTGGATCTTATGCTAGACATCTGCCAAATTACACAAATTTCTCCTTCAATATTAATGATCAAAAAATGCAAATTAATAGAGTGCCCAACATAAAATACCTTGGAGTGGTCTTGGATCCTCACTTACGATGGGACATCCATGTCAATTATATTTTAAAGAAAGTTAGATTTGTAACCTACAAAATTTAATACCTTGGGAATATATTGACAGAAAAATATCTTCGTACATTATACCATGCACTGGTTGAGCCTCATCTCACAAATGGTATATTAGCATGGGGAGCTGCATGTTCCTCACATATCTATAATTTAGATGTTTTTCAAAAAAGTATTCTAAAAATGATATTTAAAAAACCGAAACTTCATCCCACTGAAAAATTATACGCAGATGTTCGAATGTATGATATAAGACAGCTTTATTTCTTACACAGTATCACTCACTACCATAAATTTGTAAACACCGACCAAAAAATTAAACATAATCATTATACCAGGTACAAAATTCGTGGCACAGTAGTTCCTCAACCGCATAAATCTATAATGCAGCGATCATATCTCTATTTAGCGCCTAAATTTTATGAAATTATACCTAAAGACTTAAAAGATTTACGATTCGGAAATTGTTTCAAAAGAAATTTAAAAAAGTGGCTACATTCTATATCTAGGACTGAAATTCATAAACTCATAAATACGAACATCAACTAAATACATAATCTACTGTAACTAATTTTTGTCCTTTTTTGTCATTCTACAGTTTCAACTTAAATTATTGATCCATGTACAGGCGATGCCTTCTATTGGGCCTGTTTTGATTTTATAATATATAAACAAAGAACTGCTTCTGGTGAATGGTGATACAACATGTTCCTGCACAACCATCGGTAAGACTTAATTCGAGATTTATATATATATATATATACCTATATATATATTTAATAAGTTCACAACCAACAAAAATAAAAAATATCGAATTTTGTTAGCGTTACAAAATTCATAAGTTTTATAACAAGTTTTCCAAATTTTATATGTAAAATTTTCAGACTCGAATATTATTCAAATATACTTTTAAATTTATATACAATAATTCATTAAAAGTATGCAAATACGTTTACCTGCACTAATTAAACAAATTCAATAGATACATTAAAATGGATTGTTTCACTTAGAGCAAGGAAATTCATTTTAATAGTGTATTAATTTTAAATATATGGGTGTACTCAATTTAAGTAAGGGATTTAAGAAATATAATTAAGCAGCTGCGTTTTGATATACAGGGTGACGGAAAAATAGATACGGAGCCGGTGGGGGGAGATAGTACAAGCCAATCTGAGTCGATTTTATTATGAACTACTATCCGAAAATTAGCCGTTTTCGAATTATACTAATTTTTGAGATTTTATAAATTAAACGTCCTTTATGCGTTAATCAAGTCATAAAACTTGAAAATTGGTTGTTTCATTTGACTTTTTTTTGTTTTACAATAAAGAAAATATTCTAAAATACGAAAATTGATACTCAAATGTACATTATAGACGTTTTCTCATGCAGTAAGCTTCAAAATAGTTCGATTTTTTTTAAAAAAATCTTCGTTAATCTCAAAACCTTCAGTTTACTAGAAAAAAAGTCGCATACAAATTTTTCGTACAAAATTATTAGAAAACATCTACGTTTCATTACCTTTCAAGTGAGGTATAAAAATCACAAATCGTTTAAGAGTTGGCAAAAATATGACTATTATAAGAGGAGGAAGGAAAAAGCAATAAAAAAATTACACTTACAAAATCATACCTTAATACAGTATAATTTGTTTGAAACTACATTTTTCTATTTCTAATACACACACGTGCTCTTCTTATGATAGCTGATTTTACTACCGCCGAATTCCTAACTGATGCTTGAATTTCTTGTGCTGCATGTATTATCCTGTTTCTGAGGTCTTCTATTGTGGATACAGGATTTTGATCAGACTATACTAAAGTTTTCATGCGACCCCACACAAAAAAGTCCATAGGTGTGAGATCGGGACTGCGTGCTGGCCATGGGATTGGTCCGCCTCTACCGATCCATCGATTCCGAAACTGCTCATTTAACCAATTTCTAACACTTAGTCTGAAATGTGCTGGGCACCCGTCATGCTGAAAAATCACTGTGTCTTGTGTGTAGCGGCACGTCTTCAAGTAATTCACATAGAATATTTCTTAAGAAATTTTCGTAGGCTTCTCCATTTATGTTGTCGGGTAGGAAATGTGGTCCTACCAAACAGTTATTTATAATGCCCATCCAGACAAAATCGAATTTCAGACCCTTTTGGTCTCTTCATATGAGGATTTCCCACTGCACGTTCACGCCAATAGTGAGCGTTATGGTAGTTTGTGATGCCGTCTTTATCAAATTTTGATTCGTTTAAAATAAAACGACAAAATTGCGTGGGCCTCATGGGGTCTCCTTTCTCTATGACGTGCACAGGTGTGTAGTGGTAAGGGTGGAATATGTTTTTATGCAAAACACACCACACTTGCCATTGGGATAATCCAAGCCATCGAGCCACAGCGCGAGTAGAGAGAGTAGGGTTTCTTTGGAAAATATTTAATATTTCTTCTTCTTCTTCCACATCATGTCGAGGTTTACCTGCATCACCTGAAATAAAATGAACAAATAAATAACAGTTTTTTGGAGGAAATTGTTATGTAATAAACATAGCGGTAAGAGTATGAGCAGAGTTGGCAAAATATTATTTAGAAAAAACGATACACAACGTGTGAATGTTTCCATCTTCAGAGCCGTGTAGATGCTCGTGTTGAAATTAAATGAATAAACTCTTAATTAAGAAGTTCAATCAACTGTATCAAAACAACTATGTTACAGTATCATCAGTTCAGCCCACAGACCTCCAAGGCTCTACATAGGCCTTACTGAATGACTGATTATGATAAGTTCATAATTATCAATGATGCAAACTTACCTTGATACGAGTATCTTACGACGCACTGTACCGCGCTCTCGAACCCGACGGAACGTTTGCCCAAATACGCGGGGCGTCAGGTAGGCGACGATTAGGAACATTTCCCCATACTCACGACAAGCTTCTTCAACATTGCCTCTGGCATTTCCATAGTAGAAAAGGATATCGGCATATTCTTCGAAACTGTACGGCCGCCTCCTTTGTTCATCAGCCATTGTTCATCGATACGTAGATTAACGAACAATCAAGTCGCACAGCAGTCAAGTCGTAAGGAATCACAGAAAACAGGGTACAGTCTAGGTCGTCAGGAAACGAATCTCACACCGAAGGCCCACAAGCGCCAAGTCGTTAGAAATATCAAAACAGCAAGGAAACAAACACATCCGAATATCGCTAGAGCAGATTGAAGCGTCGGAGGAAGGAGGATGACTAGTCTTACTTATCGCAATATTCCGGTGGCAAAGTCCGATGTTCGCGGCTCTACCTGTTTCTTTCACTCATATCTTTGTCATTTCTAAACCGGTTTGTGACGATACCTCATTTGAAAGGTAATGAAACGTAGATATTTTAAAATTGTTTAGCACGAAAAATTTATAGGTGATTGTTTCTAGTAAATTGAGTTTTTGAGATGAACGAAGATTTTTTTTACAAAAATTGGACTATTTTGAAGCTTACTGCATGAGATAACGTCAATAATGTACATTTGAGTATAAATTTTCGTATTTTAGAATATTTTTATTGTAAAACCAAAAAAAAATCAAATGAAACACCCAATTTTCAAGTTTTATGACGTGGTTAACGTATAAAGGTCCTTAATTTTATAAAACCTCAAAAATTAGTATAATTTGAAAACGGCTAATTTTCGTACAGTAGTTCCTATAGTAAAATCGACTCAGATTGGCTTGTACTTTTGTTAATACGATTTTTGAAGTACCTAAGGTTAGTAGAACTGGGAAAAGCTTCCTCCCGTAGATTGTTCCACAATCTAGACACCCTCGGAACAAAGGAGCGGTCGTATCGGCCAGTTCTGGATGCACGAAGTTTGACACGGTTAGGATGGGACGCCGAAGTCAGGCGGGTCTGTCTGGCAGGCACATCGCGCGGCGGCATCATGGAAGAGAGCTCTGAGGGGCAAAGCCCGTTGGTGTAGCGATAGAAAAGAGCTAGATCGCCGACGGCCCGCCGGTGCGAAAGAGTCCCGAGACTGTCTGTTAGAGAAGAGTCATCGATCAGTCGGACCGCCCTCCTCTGGACAGCATCGAGCATGGACAATGTAGCCGGGGCGGCAGCACCCCAAACGTGTGAGCAATACTCGAGGCTAGGCCTTATCTGGGCCTTGTATAGAGTGAGAAGGTCATGCGGAGAAAAGTACTTCTTAGCCCTAAACAAATAGCCTAGCTTTTTCCCAGCAGCTGCAGCGATTGAAGAGATGTGTTCGTGCCAGATCAGTTCCTCGGTGATCTGGACTCCGACCAGCCGAAATGAATGGCTCTTTGGTAGAACTCGACCGTCCATCGAAACTGTATGAGCGCTAGGACGCTTTTTGTTCGTCAAAGTACAGTACTGTGTTTTGGAAGCATTGAACTGTACAAGATTGTTGCGTCCCCAAGCAGTGATAGCCTTCAGGTCTCTTGTCAGAGAAGAAGTCGTCGCTAGTCTTCTTTTTTCCAGCTCAGCGGCAGACATCGGCTTGTCACTCTGAATTCCTGTATGTAGAGTGCTGTCATCAGCGAAGCTGTGGATTGGGTTGATCGTGCAGGAAAGGAGGTCGTTGATATGTAAGAGGAACAGTGTTGGAGCCAAGACCGATCCCTGGGGAACACCCGCGTTGACGTTGTGGGGTGAAGAGGAGAATCCGTCAATTATGACGGATATCTTGCGGCCAGAGATAAAGTCAGCCACCTATCTGCAAAGCTTTTCTGGGAGGCCGTAGGATGGAAGTTTGCTTAAGAGGGCAGCGTGCCACAGCTGATCGAACGCTTTCGTGATGTCAAGAGCAACGACATGAGCCTCACCATGAGACTGGATGAGTTTACTCCACAGTTGCGTGACGTAATCTAGGAGGTCCCCTGTGGATCGTTGGTGCCGGAAACCGTACTGCCTGTCGCTAATCAAGTTGTGACGTTCGAGGTAGTCTAGAAGCTCGCGATTTATGCACATCTCCATCACCTTACTTATAACAGAAAGCAGAGCTATAGGCCTGTAGTTGTAAGGGTCGGTTTTAGATCCTTTTTTTGGGATGGGCTGTACATGAGCAAATTTCCAGTTTTCAGGGAAGGTGCCGGATTCATAAGATATCTGGAAGAGACGCGAAAGAACTGGAGCAAGCTCCGCTGCACATCTCTTCAGTACAATGGCAGGAGTCAAGTCCGTCTTACGGTCTTATGCCTGAATGTTACCTCCCGCATAGTGTGGGGAACCCTTTGAATTGACGGCACTTGGGCGTTGGTGGGGACGTCCATGGTGGAGTTGGCAGCAAAGATCCTGGCTAGCACTTCCGCCTTGGCCTTTGAGTCGAATACAATAGTTCCATCCTGACACGTAAGTGGTGGAAGGCTACTGTGTGAGAAGTTCTTTTCAATCTGCTTGGCCAGCGTCCAGAAAGACCGACTGCCATTGCGCTGCGACATTACCCTGTGCCTAACTTTTATATCATGCTGGTTTTTGGCATTGCGTACCGCTTCGTTGTATTTGTTTCTGGAGGCGACGTCGGCTTGTCTGTTCTCTACAGTGGGGTTTTGTAAGTAGGTTCTGTGGGCCTTGATCTTCTGCTGGCGAGCAGTGTCACACGATTTGTTGAACCAGCCGTTGGGCACTGGTTTAGGAACTTTCACTGTGTGAGGGATGTATTCCTCCATTCCGACGTGAATAATTTCGGTTATTGAAGAACAGACAGTCGACGGATCCGCGTCAGTGAAACAGACATCTCTCCAAGGAAAGCTAGAGAAGAAGTCTTTGAGCCCCTCCCAGTCGGCATGTCCGTAATGCCAAGTTTTGCGGCCTGTGCGAGTTTCTGCTGCCACAGCGGCTTCTGACCGAAACCTAACCTCCACAACACCGTGATCTGAGTTACCCAGGGGGGATAGGACAGCAGTGCTGTAAGGGGCAGGATGCGTGGTCAGAAAGAGATCCAGCAGGCTACTGGCGTGTGACGAGACGCGGGGGAAAAAAGTGGGGCTCGTCACCAGCTGGGTCAGCCCTTGAGTAAGAGCGAATGCTTCGACTGCACGACCTGCTGCATCGGTCTTATTTGAGCCCAACCAAAGCTCATTATGGGCATTGAAATCACCGAGAAGAGCTACCTCTGAAGCGGGGTGATTGACGTTCAGGAAGTCGATCTGGACGGCGAGGTATTCGACTAGGTCATCCCAGTTATGGTTCGAGGGAGAGCGATAAAGGCAGCAAATATATTTGGGTGATGTTTTGGAGTTGAGGCGAAGCCACAAAATGTCCTTCCGGTCTGATTCCAAAGAAAGATCCCTGGAGCAGGAAAGACTGCTGCGGACAAAAGCCACAACTCCCCCGTTCTTTCTCAGATTGGAGTGCACCTCGTAGTTTGGGAAGTTGAGATGGTTAATCGGTGCAGTCTCTGAGATTTTTGTCTCCGCCAAGAAAAGCACGGCGGGACGATTGGATTGCAGGTAGTGATGAACAGCATCAATGTTGCTGTTGATCCCGCAGATGTTCGAAAAACAAATTTTATCTTCGATGTTGTTCCCTCGAGCCCACCCTCCACCCGGACATTCCGAGAGTGGAGTGAGTTTACGTCTGGAGTTTTTAGTGCTCGAGGGATCCATCATCATTAATTTCCTTGTTTTGGTAGATAACCGACTGCATAGCTTACGTGTGGAAACATGCGGACATTTATAAGACACCCTGGGAAAAGCTAGCGGGTGGTACTGCCTCGGTCGACTGGTCCTTGTCTACCACCTTCTTTTTACGTGTTAGTGATGTTAAATAGACCTAAAGTGACCCGTTGGCCACGTTAAACTAATTTAGCTTGTTAGCTGTCACATAGTATGTTAATTTTTCAAATTGACTTAGTTGAATTATCACTTGGTTTTATTAATTTCCTTTCTAAGTGTGCCTAACGAATGTCCCTATGGTTTTGTCAGAAAATTCCATGGCTTTAATTTTAACAAACACAATATAATATGAAGCTTCCTTTGGAAATGAAAGTTTGGTTACTTACTTTGCTGTCAGTAGACATTTATTTATTTTAAAGTTTTCGCTCTAAGACGTCGTATAAATTTGAAATAAGAAAGAGTATCTACAAGTTGGTTGGCCGGGTACGCATAGCTCAAATCTGTCAAATATTCCAGAGTGAAAACATTTCACGCGGAACCATTTGTCGGAAAATGGCGGAGTGCGAGCAGGGAATACCATGTCTCCATCTCCCAAAAAGTGGAAGACCTCGTGCATTTACTGCCTAGAGGTCAGAGAGATTGGCCAGAAGAACAAAAAATCAGGTTGGAATGTCAACATGGAGACTGACTCGTCAATATGGATCTTCTAAGAGTACAATATCATTGGAATTGAGGAGGAATGGCCTCAAATACTCTCAAGGAAAAAAATCCAATAAATATTTTGTGCCAAACCTTTTAGGACATACGTTATTTTTGGGGCTATCTTGAGCGGATTAGTTACCCGCCTTCTAGATATGCAGACTTTTTCCGAATCAATGTCTTTGGTTTCTAGTTCATACACCTAACCTCTATTTAACTGGTTGATTTGGATTTGTGACAGCATAACTTGTTACTAGTGTAGTTTCTTTCTGGTGCTCACATTTAAAATCGGAACGCTAGGAAACCTACCTTTCAATCAAATTTAAGGTATTTCATCCAGAAAGCTGGTTACTTTATTCGGATCACAAGACTGTTGCTGATGCTTCCGCCTACGCTTCAATCCAGTACCATAAACTAACTTTACGATCATATTATCCACGGAGGATAAAGTAGGTACCTTTTTTCCTTGCAAAACTCAACGGCCCTTTTTCCATACGAACGACTTTATTTTAGCGAGAACGAGCCATATAAGCAACCACAGGCATATCATTCCGTGGCTTCTAGCCGCCAGCAGCAAAGGCTTCCGCACCATAAACCGTCTTCGGCGAAGCACTAAAATGTTTTATTGAACATAAACTGGAATCGCTTAGGTCAATTTTAATTCCTCGCGCTTTATGACACGCTTTTATAATTTGCAAACATATTTTTTC